CGACCCGGCTGGAGCGGCGATGCCAGCGCCGCCCCCCGCCCCACGCTTCTTTGGGCCGTTTTGGTCTCCGGCTTCCCCCCCTAAACCCTCCAGGGACAACATTTCCTCTTGAGACCGGGGCGTATTTTGTCACAGAAACAAGCGTGGAAGTGGCTAAGCACAGGGGAAAAAATGGTGCAAAGTCGTAAGAGTGATGAGTTCTCCCTTAAACCCTAGAAATCTTTAAGAGCAGGAAAGCCAGCCAGCATCCTAGATTATTTTTACAATGAATCTATTGGTAGCAGAGTCGTGAAGATGGGGGAAAAACATAAAATATCTTTATGCAGAGGGTTAAAGACTAAATACACTACTAATTTCTTTCACTTTTATTTTTCCTGTACCTATTGCTTAGAATGAATCTGAAACGTGGGTAGCGCTGCTATAAAGTGTGCTCAGAGCTTGTGTTCCTCATACGTCGTTAAGAAGCAGATTGCTTCATTAGAGCTAACGAACAACCCAGATCCCGTACCGGCTAACAATGTTTATACCACAAGAAATTGTTCATGCTGGTTCTTCTGATGAAGAAAAACACCCTGAGATTTAGTCTGGGAAAGATTCATCTTCCTATCTTTATCTTTAAAAAGACTTAGCTATTAGGATAATATCCTGGCTAATAGCTGAGTCGATGCCCTCTAACTTCCCCTGCGCCCTGTGGTTGTCGTTTCCACCCCATTCGGGAAGCTGAGGTGGCGCTTCCAGGAACTGTCACTGCCACTGTCCCCACTGCCATGCGAGGCAGCCGGGGTGGCACTGACTCAGTGCGAGGGGCACCCTGAGTCACCAGCTTCACCTCCAGACGTGGGTTTCCCCTCGTGATTTACTTGCAGTGACCAGCTGGCCTTGAGCTGCTTCAAAGCGCATCAAGGTGCTCCAGGCAATTGGCTAGAAGCCATTTGGACAATGTTGATGGTGGCAGAGGTGTCCCCAAAGCAACCTGAGGAGGAGACCGGAGGGGACGTTTTGCCCTGTTGATGGGTTTGGTCTCTTTTCCCCAGGGCAAAGTGACCGTCGCTTCTTGGAGCCCTGTTGTTGCAGCTTCGTTTGCTCCCCAGGCCCAGGCCAGATGCGCAGCCACCCGCGAGGGGGAAAGCTTCAAGCTGCCGGGAAGGCTGAGTGAGTAGACGAGGAGCAGGTCAGCGCGGCTTGCAGGTGTCCCCACAGGGTGGGACACGGTGGGTGCTGCAGTTGTCTCCTGCCTTGTGACCACTGCCTGCTCTCTAGGTTGGGGACGAGATGGGCCCGTCACCACATCCCGTTTTCTGTCTTTGGGCTAATTTGATCTGTGAAGGTTTAAGAGGGGGTTTTTGGGGATGGAGATGCTGAGTGTCCCGCCCGGCCCCTTGCTGGATTTGAAGATGGAGATCAAGGTGCTTCAGAGGCTGCCCGTGATTTCAGGAATCCCACCCTCGCTGTGGAGCAAGGAGGATGTGATCCACTGGCTGAGATGGGCCGAGAAAGAATATTCCCTTCGGCGAACGGACGAGAGCAAGTTTGAGATGAACGGGAAAGCCCTGTGCATTCTCACCAAGGACGACTTCAGATACAGAGCTCCCAGCTCAGGTTGGCTGAGGGGAACGGTGTTCCTAAGGACACAGTGAGCCCAGCACGGGCTGTGGGACGCTGAGCGGGGCTGGGTAGGTCCATGCGCTGAGCCCGGCCTAACCAGCTGGATGAGGGAGGCTGGGACAACTCTCTTCTTTCCATAGACCATTGGCATTGTCCCTGCAGCAGCTGCAGTTAATAAACCTGAGTTTCCTTATCTGAAAGTCAGCTGTGGTATTGCCTCATATCAGCTTTTTCCTGGGGGAAAAGCTCCAGAGAGTCAGAGCAAGCAAATCAATCCTTCACTGTGTGCTTAGGAGAGGTCTGACTTCCCTGGGGCACAAGATGTGATGGCAAAAGAGAGTTGTCAAGAAAGAAGCAGACAGTGATGGAGAGAACAGGGACTGAAGGGCTTGAATTGCCAGCACAATAATAAAACCCATCACCATTTTTTGTTATTCCAGACGATGTTTCTGCAGTGCCACAGGATGACATAAGCACCTGAACAGACTCCAACGCTTTCCTTCCCCCACAGGCGACGTCTTATACGAACTCCTCCAGTACATCAAAACCCAGAGGAGAGCTCAGGTGTG